CAATCGATCAGTAGTGTATTTAAAAGTCGAATTTAAATTTAAAAATTTATAATCTTATTTCGGAACCAAATAGTATAAATTTAGGACAAAAAGCTACGTGGTGTTGATAACAACTATTAAAATTCAAATATTACTACCATGAATAATACAATGGCTCATATTGATAATTGATAAACGTGCATATAAATTGCATATATCATCAATGTCATTAAGTAAAATACATGTATATAAATAGATTAGAAATATTTTTCGGTTAGAATTAAAATCTATGTAATAAAAAATAAGTTATAAAAATAAATACCGAATTTTTATTTGTAATATAAACTGCTACAATATGCTAGTGTATACAAATGTATTTGTCGTATTGATTTGAAAGATCTTCAACATGGTTCAGATCTAAATTTGAAACTCGTAAAATAAAGCGAATCTTTATTTATAATATAAACTGCTACAATATGCTAGTGTGTACAAATGTATTTGTCGTATTGATTTGAAAGATCTTCAACATGGTTCAGATCTAAATTTGAAACTCGTAAAATAAAGCGAATCTTTATTTATAATATAAACTGCTACAATATGCTAGTGTGTACAAATGTATTTGTCGTATTGATTTGAAAGATCTTCAACATGGTTCAGATCTAAATTTGAAACTCGTAAAATAAAGCGAATCTTTATTTATAATATAAACTGCTACAATATGCTAGTGTGTACAAATGTGTTTGTACAAATGTATAACTCTTTGTCAATTGTTATGGCACCTTATAACTTAAAAATCATTTTCATTAACAAATATAAAAAGTGACAATTAATATTTTCATTAAATGCATATTTAATTATCAAAACAATGTCGATTTAGCTTGAATGTTCATTATAAATGTGTAAGTTTAGGAAAACAAAAAATAATTAATTCTCGCAAAGAAACTTATTTTAAAAGAACCTAAACAAAAGTTCATATAATAATAAATCTAAAAATAGATATTAATTTAAACGAAGATAATGAGAGAATGGGGATGTTGTAAAACAATGAGACTTAATGATCAAATAATTAAAATAATAAAATTAATTAAAGGAAAGCTAAAATAGTTTAATGAATTTTTATAGATTGATTACACAATCAATGTTTCTGTGTCAATGTACATCAATCAACATTGTTTCATTGAATTTTGTCTTTCACCAAGAAGATTCAAGAACAAAGTTTTGTAGTTTCAATAGATTGATTACACAATCAATGTTTCTGTGTCAATGTACATCAATCAACATTGTTTCATTGAATTTTGTCTTTCACCAAGAAGATTCAAGAACAAAGTTTTGTAGTTTCAATAGATTGATTACACAATCAATGTTTCTGTGTCAATGTACATCAATCAACATTGTTTCATTGAATTTTGTCTTTCACCAAGAAGATTCAAGAACAAAGTTTTGTAGTTTCAATAGATTGATTACACAATCAATGTTTCTGTGTCAATGTACATCAATCAACATTGTTTCATTGAATTTTGTCTTTCACCAAGAAGATTCAAGAACAAAGTTTTGTAGTTTCAATAGATTGATTACACAATCAATGTTTCTGTGTCAATGTACATCAATCAACATTGTTTCATTGAATTTTGTCTTTCACCAAGAAGATTCAAGAACAAGTTTTCCTCTTTTTCTTTTTTAAATGATTAAAATATTACCTTGCTTCAACTTTACACGTTTTCGTTTACTAAAATTATCTTTTACCTTCACTTATCTTATCATACCCAATTATTCATTTAATTCTATATTTTTCTGACCAAAAATCCTCTCAAATCTCCCTTCTTCTTTCAAAAATTCTATGAGTTTATTCAAATTTCCTTTAAATCTTTGCTAGTCCTTCTATGAGATTCATTCTAAAATTTTTGAAAAAAATTTAAAATTTGCTAAATATATTCTTTATTACTTTGCACTATTTTCCAATTGAAAAATCGTCGATTTTAATCAAATGTAAGATCATAATAATAAAAATTATGAAACTTACCGTGTTTATTAGTAAATTTCAATATGAAGTTGTTATACAAACAGCTGGGACTTTAAATTGAGAAATTGCATAATTCCATCTACAAATTTTGGTCTAGACAATAATCATTGATAAATTATAATATATGTATTATGTGTATTTACATTGCATATATAACAATTTCAATTTCTATATTAAATTGTTATTTGATATCAGCTATATTTGTTCAGGTAAAATGAAGTGTAAAAATATAACTCATGAATTACATATATATATATTATTTTTATTATTAAAATCAAATTCAGATTTATAAATTAAGGTTATTCATTTTTGATATGGTTATCACGCTCAAATATGGAAATAAAATTAAAAAAAGTCAATACTCCTCAAAAAATACATTGTCTATCATTATATCTATATGCTTCCAAAGTATTTCATCTTAAACTAAAGACTTTTATATTACAAAAAGATTCAAAGAAGATACAATTGTTTAATTATGTTAAACATTATTCAGATATGACAATTGAAATAAAAGAGTCAAAAAAGCCTCTAAACTATTTGACAATCCAATAATTTCTTCAACTAAACTATCAAATTTGGAGGATTTAATAAAATGTGGATATGATATGGATATTTCACAAATTGCATTGTTTTCAGCCAGAAATGACATTGATACTGCTATGAAAATACTGAACATGGATTCAATCGAAGAATATGGATATGAACTTAATTGCTTATTAAAACAAGTAAGAGAATTTAGAAGAAGTGATATAAAAGGTCAAATGATTGCAATAAGGACAGATAGCAATGGTAAAAAATACACAGAAGTATTAGCAGAAGGGATTTTTAAAGCAGATAGCGATGTTGATTGATGTACATTGACACAGAAACATTGATTGTGTAATCAATCTATTGAAACTACAAAACTTTGTTCTTGAATCTTCTTGGTGAAAGACAAAATTCAATGAAACAATGTTAATTGATGTACATTGACACAGAAACATTGATTGTGTAATCAATCTATTGAAACTACAAAACTTTGTTCTTGAATCTTCTTGGTGAAAGACAAAATTCAATGAAACAATGTTGATTGATGTACATTGACACAGAAACATTGATTGTGTAATCAATCTATTGAAACTACAAAACTTTGTTCTTGAATCTTCTTGGTGAAAGACAAAATTCAATGAAACAATGTTGATTGATGTACATTGACACAGAAACATTGATTGTGTAATCAATCTATTGAAACTACAAAACTTTGTTCTTGAATCTTCTTGGTGAAAGACAAAATTCAATGAAACAATGTTGATTGATGTACATTGACACAGAAACATTGATTGTGTAATCAATCTATTGAAACTACAAAACTTTGTTCTTGAATCTTCTTGGTGAAAGACAAAATTCAATGAAACAATGTTAATTGATGTACATTGACACAGAAACATTGATTGTGTAATCAATCTATTGAAACTACAAAACTTTGTTCTTGAATCTTCTTGGTGAAAGACAAAATTCAATGAAACAATGTTGATTGATGTACATTGACACAGAAACATTGATTGTGTAATCAATCTATAAAAATTCATTAAACTATTTTAGCTTTCCTTTAATTAATTTTATTATTTTAATTATTTGATCATTAAGTCTCATTGTTTTACAACATCCCCATTCTCTCATTATCTTCGTTTAAATTAATATCTATTTTTAGATTTATTATTATATGAACTTTTGTTTAGGTTCTTTTAAAATAAGTTTCTTTGCGAGAATTAATTATTTTTTGTTTTCCTAAACTTACACATTTATAATGAACATTCAAGCTAAATCGACATTGTTTTGATAATTAAATATGCATTTAATGAAAATATTAATTGTCACTTTTTATATTTGTTAATGAAAATGATTTTTAAGTTATAAGGTGCCATAACAATTGACAAAGAGTTATACATTTGTACAAACACATTTGTACACACTAGCATATTGTAGCAGTTTATATTATAAATAAAGATTCGCTTTATTTTACGAGTTTCAAATTTAGATCTGAACCATGTTGAAGATCTTTCAAATCAATACGACAAATACATTTGTACACACTAGCATATTGTAGCAGTTTATATTATAAATAAAGATTCGCTTTATTTTACGAGTTTCAAATTTAGATCTGAACCATGTTGAAGATCTTTCAAATCAATACGACAAATACATTTGTACACACTAGCATATTGTAGCAGTTTATATTATAAATAAAGATTCGCTTTATTTTACGAGTTTCAAATTTAGATCTGAACCATGTTGAAGATCTTTCAAATCAATACGACAAATACATTTGTATACACTAGCATATTGTAGCAGTTTATATTACAAATAAAAATTCGGTATTTATTTTTATAACTTATTTTTTATTACATAGATTTTAATTCTAACCGAAAAATATTTCTAATCTATTTATATACATGTATTTTACTTAATGACATTGATGATATATGCAATTTATATGCACGTTTATCAATTATCAATATGAGCCATTGTATTGTTCATGGTAGTAATATTTGAATTTTAATAGTTGTTATCAACACCACGTAGCTTTTTGTCCTAAATTTATACTATTTGGTTCCGAAATAAGATTATAAATTTTTAAATTTAAATTCGACTTTTAAATACACTACTGATCGATTGCTTATATTGAGTTTCTGCTTTGCAAACAAGTTGAGGTTATAATTGTAAGTTTATTTGTATGAAATAAGAAATAATATATGTGACATTTGGATTTTATGCTACCATTTTTCTAAACAGGTGGTAGTGAGTCATTCACTTAAATATTGAGTAATCTTCAATAATGTGTAACGAAGATTTCTCTGAAACCATTAAAATAACGTATATAAATAATCGTATGTCAAAATGTGTGCCTATTTCAATTTTGCACACATTTTGACAGAAATTTGAATGAAATTTAGAGGTTTTTCTTCAAATTTGAATGATGCTTGTCAGAAAAAGTGTCAAAATGTGTGCAAATGTGTGCATTTTATCCATCTCCTTTATCTTCATCATAGAAACACTGAACAGAGTCAGGAAACATTTCATTAGCGGTTAAAGCAATAACATCTTGCTTCACGCCTTTCATTCTGCAGTGAAATGCAACTTCATTTAAATCATTCGTGAGTAAGTCTATGTAAGTCTTCTTTCCACAAAATATTGACCTGTATGCTAAACTTTGTTTATCTTTTGTGATTTCTGCAAAGTCGCTATGAAATTGACCAAGGTTTTTACCAATGAGAATTCTTCCATAACGTTTCTCAAACTCTTCAGCTAAACGAGGGATATCTTCATTGTAGAGATGCATACTGTCCGTATCGCTATAAAAGATGTCCATTCCTAAGTCCTCGGTAGTACATAATACTTCACACATTATTCTCTTCGACATAGACAGAATGTTAACACCAAGTGGACAGAAGTTAAAGTGTCTGCAAATACTTTTCGTTAGCTTGAAAATAGTTTTATCTGAACCATCCAAACCTTCGAACTTCACTATATGGTTGTAGTTTCTGATGGCATATCTTATAGCATCGTTGTCATTTACTATGGTTATTTTTGACTCAATAGGAGAAAGAATAGTTTTGCCATAAATACTGTTCAGAATGAGCTTTATATTTTCTTGCAAAGGATTTCCTTCTTTCTTATACTTTAACCTTAACTCAAACAACTTCTTTACTTCATCTCTTATTCTAATATCTCTGTTTCCATCGTAATAGTATCCTTGCAACACTTCACATTTGACACCTTGATATTTTATGAGGTCTTGTAATGTTATATGGTCAACATACATTAAACAGCAAGTGTTTGAACTTCTGGGAACGTTAAGTTCTGGATTTAGTTCAGGGTCACAAACTATTAAAGGAAAGTGTCTATGTATTCCAATCTCTGTTATCTTAATGAGAACAAAGAAGCCAGACATAAACTTTTCACCAATGGGTTCCTTTTGGTCGTCATCGAATAAATGTTTCATGAGATACTCTGTGCTTAACATTTCTTTCTTCATAACCTTTGGAATACCTTCTAAAGTATAAAGTCTTGCTATAGCTGATGGATATAATGAAACAGCGTCGAAATCAGCAATGAGTTTCTTTTCGCTCTTTTTTTTTTCATGTTATCTGACAGCATACATCTTCCACCGTGAATACAGCGTGAAATAAACTCTCTTGGTTTATTTGAGAGGTCATATAAATTTCCATTCGGGAAGTACACTCTGTTCTCAAATAATTTGTTAGCAATTGAACAAATGCTAACGTAATCATAAACGTTTAAATCAAACTCTTTCAATATATCATTTCTGAACTTAACAAAACCTTCTCTTAAAATTCTTACATCTTGTTTGCAATAGAATGTACTATACTTTTCTAAATCGAAGTGGTTCTCATCTATTCTGCAGTTTTCGATTAAATCTATGTTTTTCATGAATGTATCCGCATCCTGGATAAACTTACACGCTTCAGAAATGACACCAGTTCTGTTGTCATTTGCTAACAAAACACTGCTGTAGTAGTTGTATGGAAATACTTCTTTCGGTCCTGTTTGTAAGTTAAACATAGCAGGAAATAGTTTAAGCTTCTTATTTATAACACTGTAAGAGTCTTTTATAATAATTGCCCTTCCTTTATATAAGCCAGTTATTTGCATTGTTCGTGAACCTTTAATGATGGGAGTTCCTTTCACTTCTGTCATGTGTCTTAAGATGAAGTTTATATCATAACTGAGGTTATGGAAATATATTAAACTCTTGTCAGGAAGTCGCTCCAAAAATTCTGTTGCACAGTTCTGACCCCAAATGCTTTCACTCACTGAACCATCTTCATTGTCATAACAGATGTTAAAAGCTTTATGAAAGCCATCGGTACTGCACTCAAAGTCAGCAAAGAAAACGTGCTCAGGAATGAACTTACATTTAGCTTTATTTACTTCTTTTGACTCGGCTTTCTTCTTCAGTTGTACACAATACTTTGGAGCATATGTCAAATCTTTAAATGGTGCAAGGTTCTGTTTATATAAGTCAGTCGTATATGTGAAAAGTTCTCCATAAGAAATAGGTTCGAAATATTTGCACTCCCACAATGTTTTCATAACATCCCATAACGGTGTTGTTCTATCATAACGAACTACATATTTGTTCTCTCTCTTTGTATAAATCTTCATCTGTTTCTCAATGTTCATTCCACCACAAGCTTTGAGAATTTCTTTATAATTTATGATAAAATATGTTGTCATAGGTAATCTTTCATTTAGCATGTAATGGTCTTCAACAAGAAGTAAGTCAATAGTTCGAACAGTTTTACATTCTTTTGGTATATATCTCTTTATTTCATTATGTCTTGAGTCATTGAAGTAACCAATGGTAACATTAAATGCTATACCTGTTGCGTCAGAAATTTCTTGTACTTTACTTTGAGGAAAGTCTCTAACACGAATGACTTCTCTCATGTGGTCAATAGTTTCTTCATTTACTCCAGCCTGAATGCAAGCATAAACGAAGCAGTTATCTTCTGTCATAAGTGTTGCAGTTCTTTTGTTCAGTTCATTGAAGATTTGGTAGCGTTCAAGATTTATAGGTAATGTGCAAAGATACTTCCAGAACTGACCGCTTCTCCTCTTATAAAACTTCTTTTCACCATTATCTTTCCAAAAGCTTTCTATAAGTGCTGGGTTTCCTGTTTGCTTAAGAGCTTCCAAAATGGCTTTCTGGTCATTTGTCAGTGTGCTTTCAACTCTATATGGTCTCTTTTTTGGTTTGCCTTTCTTTACATCTGACATCGTTAAGCCTTCATATTCTGTTAAATCATACATCTTTATTTCAGTAAGATTCTTTATGTTTGTCAAGAAGAAGTCATAGTGCATTTCAACAATACCTGCAGCATTTGCATCTATCTCTGATATAAAGTTCTCCTTCAAGAGCTGATGTAGTAATGTTCCAATATTATTGAGGTTTAACGTAGAACATTCATACTTTCACCAAGTTTATAACATACCATCCATCTTTGTTGGGAGTTTATTTTAATCTTCTCTAAGAGTCTCATGAAAACCTTACCGAAATGTTTGTGTAAGTAGTCTCTGTTTGGTTCATCTAAAGCTTCGATGTTAAAGTCAATGAGTCTATTGCCTGTCTTAACATTCCTCTTCCTATTCTCTTCATCTTTCTTTAACCATCTCTCACCTTCTTTTGGTTTGTCGTCAATGGAACGAAGGACATCGTTAGCTTTGCGAACTTGTTCTATAGCACTTTTAAACATCTCTCTTCTCTGTTGTTTCAGTGTGTCGTCTCTTCTTCTTGTTTCACCAACGTTTGCATTTGTTATGTCAAACATTTCTCTTCTTACTTCATGAGGTACTGAACGTCTATGATATAAGTCAATAGCAACGTCATTTAAAGGAAATGCTCTTGCATGGACTTCGTCCTCGCCGCGTTGCGGCTTTATGAACTCATGAATTCTATCATAACTTATAGCACCATTATAGTCATTGAGGATGTCAGCGAGTGCTTTTTTGTTTGTTGCGTAATGCTTTGCAACATCTATGTTAGCTTCTGTAAGAAGTTGTTTTATTTCCGAGTGTTCTAACTTAGACAACTTCCGATACATCTTTAGTAGGAAATAAAAAAATATTTTTTGAAAAAATATAGATTAGATTTTTTTAAGTTATTTTTCAAAATAATTTAATATTTTTATTTTAATGAAACACATGCAAGATTGCAAGTTCTTTTCATACAATGCTCTCGCTACTGCCATCAGAAATGAGTTCAATAATGCTTCAAATGTTAATGTTATCTTTAACAAAAGTTTGTGAAAGAATCTAAGTTTGGTCAGTATGTCAGACCATTAGCTATCGTCATTGACCGCAAACGTTATACTTCACAAGAGTTAGCAGTAGTTTTGAAACAAAAGAGTTTCTTCGTGAATGTCAAAGATACTCATTATACTGTCATAAAGAACTCTAACGTTGACTTCTTCAGTATTGCTTTAAATCTTTCCGAACAGAAAGAATATAAGAAAGGTGAAACAAATGTGAAATATTATCCTTCATCTCTGAAGACAATAACGAACAAAGATGTTATACAGAAATTCTTACCAAAGGTTGAGGAAGCTTCTATTGACATTGACGAAGGAAGTGAAATGGTTGAAGAAATTGACCCCGAAGCTTTATAAGAAAATTTATTTTTGGTTAGTCTTCATATGGATATTTTACAACAATTAAATGGTAAAAACAAAATAAACTTGACAATCAGACGATTCTCTCTTCGTCAATTATGTTCGACATGGAGCGTTTATGGAAACAATTAAATGGTAAAAACAAAATAAACTTGACGAAGGGTTTTGTTTTTTATCGTGGTTTTCTCCACTATGGTCCTAACGTGGCACCCGACGAGATTTTTTTCATTCTTCCTCTTTGAAGTTGTCGAAATATTCTGTTATTTTTTCCTTCAGTAATGTTAAGTCTTCTTTGAATGTAAGTATTGTGCAACCTTTGATGTCATAGTGTGTTTGAGGAAGAGTATTTTTGACAATTTCCTTTATTTGCTCATTCGGTGTCATTGAAATCGGTAAGTTTTCACGATAGAACCAGTTTCTGTCAGATTTATATATTTTAGCGAGGTCATAAAAGCTCTTGTTGTTTCTTCTGACTAAATGTAACATAACCATATCTTTATCTTCTTCTTTCTCCAACTCTTCAGTGTAAATCATATACTTATAACTCTTTTCCTTTCCTTTTGGTACTGAACGTGGTATTCTTTTCTGTATGCTTTTGTCTTTGGATTCAATGACTTCATCTTTTGCTTGAAGTTCTTTTCCATCTCTCCACGTTCTGCTTTATATAGTTCATCTAACATCATGAAAATATAACAAGCATAACGAGGTGAAGTCCACATTGCTACAGCGTTTACTAAAAGTCTATGAACATAATAACCTTTCAAACCAGGAGCCAAATTCTTGCGATTTTCGTACGGAATCTCTTCCCTCGGTTTTCCGAGGGAAGCAATCATATGAGGAAATTCTTCTAAAAGTTCTTTTGTCTGTTGGTTTTCAAACCAATGATATGCTTGCTTTGTAGAACGAAGAGCATTCATTATACTTTGCATTTGGTACATGTCATCTTTGACTGAACGAATGAGACGTAACTGTTTGTTATACTGTATGTATTCATATTCTTCATTTATAGCTTCATGAACGATAGCAGTTGTTGTGTTCTCTGATGTTGACATTACTGTCTTTACATATGAGATAAAAATTTTGTTAGGAAAAAAATTAGTGTTATTTTCTGACTTTCACAAAAGACCAAAAATAAACGCTTTACATGTATTTTTCAGCAACTTCGTCAAATAATTTTATAGCTTTATCTATCTCATCTACTTCAAACGTTTGTTTACCTTTCATGGGAGCACCATACATTTTCTCAAACTTTTCGAGTAGTTCTGTTTCTGCAGCTCTCATATCATTAACGAACACAACCTTGACTCTATTGACTGTAGAGTCATATCTTTGAGTTATATTATATGTTCTTCCTATCTTATATCTCTTTGTATTGAAGTCCTTCGGTTTCTGAACGATGTAAAGTAAGCCTTCACTGCAACGTTCCATATTGAATGAGCCATAAGTTATGAAGTTATATCCAACAACCGGGTCAATCCATAGAAGAATTATTGGTATAAGACTTTTGTCAATGAGATATGCTATAGTTCCATAGAATCTTACTGATATCATAAGCTCGGGATTTCTTGCCAAAATTTTCTGAGTAGAAGCAATTCTAACCCAGTCCTTTGTTATCTTTCCAGATGGTGTTATAATGTCTGACAAAGAATATTTGTTGTATTTCTTACAGTATCTTACGTTTAAATCACCAATTCTAACCACTTTGGTGTCATTGTCAATCTTTCTAACTGTTTCAAACTCAATGTTTGACATTACTGTCTTTACATACAAGATAAAAATTTTGTTAGGAAAAAAATTATCATGACTTCATCGTTAATTCATCGTTAATGCTTCGTTAATGCTTCGTTAATGCTTCGTAATGACCCCAAAAATAATGTTTAGGTGAAGAGGTGAGAGTTCACCCGATTTTTCACCTGTTTTTTCACAAGCGTTTTACATGAATTGTACGATGTATATTTGAAATCCTAAACAATTTCGTAGCTTCTATTTCTTCTTTTAGTACATCGAATGTTTTAATCGTGCCGAAAGTTTCTTTATACTTCTTCTTGACGTCAGACAGAAGGAAATCTTCTGCTGTTGGATAGTTTTTATTAAGAAATGTCAACATATCCATTTTATCTTCTGCTGGCTTTTCTGCTTCTTTCTTTAAGTCTGCATAGTCGTTTCGCATTCTTTCTATCTCTTTGACTGAGTAGTTATATTTCCTCATTGCTGCTTTACATTTTGAACATTGCGGCATCGTTTTTGCGTTATACATTGAAACATTACCAGCTAAAACAACTAAAGCGTCAATTGCTCTCTTCATCTCAAACATAGCGGGTCTTATTTGTTGGTTCCATACGTTGCCTCTTCTATCTTCATCTCTTATCTGCCATACACATTTTGCAACTAATGAAACAAAGTTATCGTATGTCTTAAATTCTTCGGATTTGTAAAGGTCAGAAATATTTTTATAAACCATGTCGCAATCTTTGTCCATAACTTTATGGTTGCAATGAAAACCAAGGAATTCATAATTTACCTTTCGTATGAACTTCTTTATTTCTACTGAGTCAGTTGGTTTCACTTCTATTTCATCGAATTCATGAATAGTGAGCTTTTGTTGTTGGATTTCAGGCAATTTGGGTAAATGGTCAATAATGTCCTGCATGTCATAAAGATATTCTTCATTTTCTTCATCCTGTGCGGTACAGTCTAAATTACTTGTTAAAAGTTCCTGCTTAATTTTTTGTATTTCTGTTTCGAAAGTAAATGAAGAAGGAATGAAGTTTTTCATTTCTACTAACATTGACGTAGGATTCATGACTAACGAGTTTGGTGCTGTTGTGGACAGAGTCCTGCCGTTCGCAGCTTGAATTGTTGCTGTGTCGATTGCCGAAATCATATCTTTTATACAAAATAAAAAAATAAATAAAAATAAAACTAACTTTATTTTTTCTATCTTAAGGAAATTCATGAAAATTCACGAGGGTGAAAAAACAGGTGAAAAACGAGGTGAAATCTCACCTCTTCACCTAAACATTATTTTTGGTGTAAATAAATGGTACCATTAATGATATCATGACTGTTCTCATTCATGTCTGATTTACATCTAATGAAAAAGTTTAGAAGAATTTTCTTATTCTTTCTGGCTTATTTTTGTCTTTCCAGTACTCCCGCTCTAATGGTCCCAGATGTGTTGGCTTTGACTCTCTCAAGTTCTTAGATGGTATAACATCTTCAACGCCTCCTTCATATCTTACTTTATAAGTGTCATCGTTTATGTTGTAGCCAAGTATTTCAATAACCACTCCTCGCTTTGCTTCGCCAATGGTTTCAGCAAGTTTGCCATTACTACTTTCAACTAATTTATGACGAGGATAAAACGCAATGGAGTCGTCGGCAGCTTTTATAAGATATCCATTACCTTGCGTAGAGTCTACGATATAATAGTTTCTACTTAACCTTAAACGTTTCTTTGTCAACGGTTTGTCGTCAAGAACTACACGAACTTTTGTACCAGGAATGAGGGTAAATTGTGTTGAATTTCTGATATTTTGTGTTTGACTTCGTTTCTTTTGTATATACTTTTCTTCTTGTTGTTGTGTCATTGAATTTGGTGTATGTCCTGTTGTAGAATGTGTTGAGGAATTATATACTTCGAGAAAGTGTTTCATTGTTTCTTCGGTAAAGTCTCGCTCTTGGTTTAAATCTCTGAGCGTTCTTATGAAGCGGTTTATGATGCCGAGTATGTTATGGTTATGGTCTTCAGTAGTGTAGTGAGTTATGTTATGCTTAATGAGAAATTCTGTGATTTCATTACTGAGGTATGCACCGTCTTGGTCTGATGTTAATGAAGTGGGATGATGTTCTGCCACGAACGTCTGCAAAACTCTTAAAACTTCATGAGTTCCTTTATTCCTCATTGGATATGCATATGCTTTGCGAGTGTTTAACATTAATGAAGATGAGGAATGGTTTATGTCCTCCTTTTCTGCTTTGAATGAGAGTGTCAAATTGGTATGCGTCAGGAGCGTTGGAGTAAATTGGTAAAAAGTAGTCGTAAGGGTTTATTTTTTGTTTGATGTACAACATTTTTGTCAAAGAACCTTTTCACTTCAGCTCTGTTAGTAAATCCCCAACTCTTTGCAGCTTCATTGAACTTCTTAACTGACCTCCATGGATGTTGTTTCGAATACTTCTTTCAAGCTCATTATTGTTAAAGTTAAAGATTTTATTCAAGACGGTAAGCCTTGACCCAAAGGGTCTAGGCTCAAGTGCGTTCAATGAACGCGGTACCATGCGAATACAGTCACAAATGGTGGCATATAATCTGCACCCGAGCCTGTTGGATTTGTTGTGAAAGTGTGTGAATGATTTCCTCCTGGTTCAGTTGGTCGAAAAATCTTTTTTGCTGCATTGTTATAAGATGGAGATAAAACGTCATTGCCAGCTTCATACTCTGAGTTGTATAATGGGTGGTCTCTTAATGAGTGGCTATGGTCGCCAGAAAAGTTTGTCGTTCCTGTATGAGTATGCGCAGGTAAGTTTGCTTCTTTAATTTTCTTCGAACCTCCTGTTTGCTTTGAATAGTTAGCACAGTATAAGAATTTATCTACAATCTGCTTCCACGTACCAAAACCCAGAACTGTTGCGGGATTTGTTGAGTTCATTGACGTATAAATAGAACCAACAGGATATAATGTTTGATGAATCTGAGCCTTCATTGTTAGAAGTTCATGTTTAACGTTTATAAATTTTTTGCCATCTTCAATATTTATATTGTTTGTTATTAAACCATTAGGAAAAGTAGGAGGATAAATTTTTTGTTCATGTACAGTTGCACCGTTTCTTCCCGTTTTTGTTACTATTTCAATGCATGCTTTAATTTCTTTAATCTTGATTGTTTGAAATTCTTCATGCACGTGCTCTTTATCGGCTTTTCCATTAAGCGCAGCATTTACTTCCGACTTCTTTGCATAATTTTCATCTACATAAGTTTTGTCAGCTTTCTTATCTAACATTGCTGGTAGTTCGTATGCTTCAAAGTTTCTGGCATGACCTTCAATGTTCATACATCTGTTATCTAAATTGTTTAGTGTATCTTTTACGCTTGTACTTGGATTCTCTAAAGGTGCACTTGAACCAAGGGTATAGTTCAATATTATGTCGTCTGCTCTAACAGTAGTGAAGGATTTATGTGTATGGTTCTTGTCAGCTTTACTATTTAATGTAGCTTGAAGTTCATTTATATCGGAGATATTGTGTTTATGAGATTTCAAAACTTTGTTCGTTGCGTCAAGTTCATCTTTGTCAGCTTTACTTTTAATAGCATCTTCAAAAGTTATTTTTGCCTTAACTCTCAAAGTAAATCTTGGTTCAATTAATACACCGTTAACAGAGAAACTAGAAGCATAAATTTCATCGTTATAACCAAATGCTTCTGGTGCTTTACCTGTGTCATACTGTACAGTACAGCTTATGTCATAACCTTTAGCACGAATGAATTTATA